TGTTTAATGGAAATCTCCATCAAAAGGCATCCAATCTCAATGGAAATCTCCAAAATTTCAATGGACATCTGAAGCAGCAACAGCAACAGCAACAGCATTGGAAGGGGGGATTGAGAGATGTTCAATGAGTTGTAGCACTTTAGAATCTGGAATATTGAAGCCTTTGAGCCTTTCCTTCCAGCTTCAACCCCCCCCCCACTTGCTTGCAGGAAACACAGTGGTGGAGATGTTGAAGGCAAATCCTTTTAAGAAGGAAGAAAAGGCTTCAAAGAAAGATTGAATAAGAGTTGAAGAAAGCTTGGAGGGGTGTCATTTCTAGATTGCAGAAAGCTTGAAGAAAGCTTGAAGCGCACCCTTAGTTTGAGCTTGGGTGTCCAAAAAGGTTCTAGGTTTGGCAGCTTGAAGGAATACTTTGTTAGAAGGGGTTGGAGTCCTGGGTTGGAGCTTGCAGTTTGAAGGGCTTTGCAAGGGTGCACTTTGAAGCACTTTGAAGTTTCTTTTTGAGGGAGTTGCAACTTGCAGTGCAGCATTCACTTGAAGTCTGTTTTGCAAGGGCTTGCAGCTTGAAGAATGGATTTGGAGGGGTTTGCAGCTTGCAGCATTCAGTTGAAGCTTGCAGCAACAGCAGCTTTCAGCTTTTCAAGTGGGCCTTGCAGCGCGTGGCTTTCAGCCTGGGATTTGCAGCACCTTGAATGACATTAGACTACAATTCTTTGGTGTTTCAATTGGTCCAAAGGTTTCTTTTTTGAAGGCTTCCTTTTTAGATTCATTTGGGGAGCTTGTTCAGGCCATGGCTTTGAGCAGCTTCTTGGTGAAGATCTTTGAGGGCTTCCAGGCTGCCTTGGAGATGCTTGGGTGGCTTCTAGGCCACCTTGCAGTGATCCTTACAGCTTGGCTGGTTGGAGTTGGCAGCTTGGAGTTATTTGGCAAACTGGTGTTTGAAGATTCTTTGGCACCATTGAAAGAGCTAGTTCTTTGTTTCAAGAATCATTGAAAGCTTTTAAAGGCATTGGCCACTTCCAGCTCCTTTCACCTCACTTCCAGAACTGGGCTGGCTTTGCAGATGCCTTGCAGGTGGCTTTGCAGATTGAAGCTGGGCTACATATTAAAGTATATACAGTAAGTCTTTGTTTTGCAATGGCTTGTATGTTTTTTGAAGAAAGCTTGCAAGTAGCATTCAGTGTGCAAAGCTCAGGCGCACCTATTTGCAGTGTGCTTTGGTGTCTTCAAGCTCCATGGATTGAAGGAGAAGGTTGAAGAGACCTTGGAGGAAGTTGGGTTCATTTCCAGGAACACCAACTACATTGGCCAGAAGGTCTGCTATATTGAAAGCAGCACTTCAGATGGATTGCCAGTATCCCTTTGTAGTTTTTCCTTGAAGGGCTGAATACAAGTTTACTTAAAGAGCTTTCAGATTCACAGCCAAGGACAGGACAGCGCCAGTGGGAAATGCCAAGACACCATAAGGCACCTGCAGCAGCATCTGCTCTCTTTTGACCCCAGCAGCCTGCTTTTTCTTTAGGAAGCTTTGTGTTTTTAAGCAATCTCAAGTTTTGAAGCAAACAGCCACCAGAATCTGAAGGTTGTTAGAGAGCACTGGCAATTATAGATTTTATCCTTGTATTTGCTTCAGGTTTTCAGCAACTAAGGCAAGGGAGCTGCCCAGCTGTTCAAAAGTGGCTTGCTGGATATGCGCCCACCATTCAATGGCTCCTCTTGTGAGGCCTATATGAGCCTTTGCCCTTTTTAGTTCAAGTTTTTTTTTAATGTTTTGAAGTATGTTGATTGTCTTTGCAAGCTTCATTTGAACCCTCAATGGTTGAAGCCAAGGGCTGAGTGGGACCTCATGGTGCATGAATCCTGCACTGGGCTGCAAAACGACATCTTTTACAAGAGGTTCCAGTACGCACCCTGGCTGTATTTAGCATGTTTTCTAGTTGTTTTATGTTTTCATGAGCTTCCATTCCCAAGCCATAGTTCAATCATCTCTTTCAGCCATGAAGCCATGAACAGGCAAGTGTTGGAGAGGAGCAGCCAGTTGCAGAGCAGTTGGAGGATTTGAAGGTCTTGCAGAACACTTGCAGACCAGAGATCAGCCTTGTGAAGTTCCTTGCAGAGCCTTGGTTGGAATTGGCTATATTTTTGGTGTGTTACTTGGACCTTTTATATTTGGTGTTACCTGGTTGAGTTGAGAGCAGCCCCATTTCAGGACAGGCCCCTTTCAGAGCTTCAAGCTGCTTGCAGTCCATGGTCTGCATTGCCTGAGATCACCAATTACAGGCAGACCAGGTTGCAAGATGCTGAGAAACTTGGAGCTTGACCATTTATGTAACTGGTTCCTTTGTGCTTTGAGTTTGCGCGTACTTGGAATTTGATCAGTTCAAACCTTTTCTTAAAGAGTTGAAGTTGAAGCTTGGAGTATTCATGACTAAGGGCCAAAGCTGCTGCCCTGGGCCTGGATTGGCAGAAGCTGGCTGTGCTTCCAGAGGTGGAGCCTCTTCCAGATTGGAACACTGGCCTTCAAGTATCTTGGATATGTTCAGTTTCAACTTTGCTTTTTCTAATGTGCTTTTCTAAGTTAGTCTCATTGGGCTTAGCTTTCAGGTGTTCCAGCTGTCCAGTTTACTTTGTTTTCAATGGTTTGTGCATCTCAGGTGGAGATGATTAAAGAGATGGTGAGTGGTTGGAAGGGACCTTCCAGCAAGGGCGCTTCCAGTGGGGACTCAATTGCAGACCCCAAGGGCTTGAAGCCACCAGCTTTGAAGGCTGTGTCGAAGCCAGCAGATTGAAGAGCTGGTTGCAGTGCTGATTGCAGGAAGTCAGAAAGTCTTTGCAGAGCATTTGCAGTTCACTTGCAACAGTTTCCAGATATCAATCCAACCTCCAACCTTAAAGGTATCAATCTTTTCAGGGCTCTTTCAAGACTTGTTCAATTTGAGCTTCAGGGGTGCATCTTCAAGGGGGTGCATCTTCAAGACTTCCAGAGTTTTGCAATTAAGGAATCAGGATTGCTGGCCTGTTTGTAGTCATTTCAGTGTTCAAAAGTAGAAGGTGTGCTTTGCTTAGAGGCCCAATGGTTGTAGTGAACTATGTTGGATGCCATGGATGGCTATGGATTTCAATTTCATTTCTGACCTCTGCAGATGGTGGCTTCCAGACCACTGTTTACAGATGGTGTTTGCGCAACAACAGGTGGGGGTTAAGAAAATGGTTCTAGTGTTGTTCAAGGGCTCAACCAAATACTTAGGGATCCAATAGTTTTTTTCAGCAAGATCATTCTTCTATCCAAAACCCATCAGGTGGCAGTGGTATCAATTGAGCTCAGCTGAGATTGAAGACCTTGAAAACAAGGTACTTGAGTGGGAACAAGATTGTTGGAGATCCCACTTTGTGCAAAGGATTTCAAGAGACATGGGAATTTGGAGTCTTTACATGGAAGCCCTCACATTAGACTATGTATCCCAAATTGTATGGATTCATTGGATGGGATTTCATCCAAACAGGTTTGGTATTTGGGGGAGGTTTGAAGATGAGTAATTGGTTGGAGTGGGCAGCAATCCTTTCAGGGCTGGCTCCTTTTCAGGTGATGCTTCCTTTGCAGATTGAAGAGCCAAGCAAGATTGAAGGTTTCATGTGTGCAAGGGTTTCCTTTTGCAGTCTTGATGTTCAGTTTTGTTTGTAGCTGGCTCTTCAAGAAGCATTCAAGGACATCAGCACACCTTGTAGAGCTGCTTTGAGTTTGCGCGTTTTGATTGGCTTCAAGGCATCCATCTTTCAGGTTGGCTCCTTGCAGGTGTTGCTTCCTGTGCAGTTTGAAGAGCCAAGCTTCAAGGTCTTTTGAAAGAATCCCTTTGTAGCAGCATGTTAGCAATGATCATTGTTGATCAAATGGTTTGAGGTTTCAGTGTTCTCAAAGGGTTTGAGGTTTCTTTTAGTTGGTTAGCTTGGCTGTTCAACAAGCAAATCAGGACATTAGCACACCACATTGCAGGTAGAGCTGCTTTCAGAGTTTGCCTTTTGAGGTTTTGCTTTCAGTGCGCATTGTCTTTGAAGCCATCCAGCTTGCACATGCACTTTCAGCTGAACTTGCAGCTGCTGAAAAGACTGGGGGGTTGGAGTGCAAGGGCTTGAAGAGTCTTTGAAGAGTCACAGGGTTTGAAGGGTCTTGGAAAAGAAAGGGTTTGAAGGGTCTTGGCTTGAAGTCTTCTTCAAGTTGGAGAGTGCAGGGGGTAGCTTTTAGCAAGAGTGCAGTCAAGCTTGGAGAATCTTTGAAGCTTGAAGTCATCAAGACTTTGCAGTGCAAGGCTTGGAGCTTTTAGCAAATGTTGCTGCGCGTGTGTCAGTTTGCAATTGTGCATATATATATATATGTATATACTATGATAAAAACACACAAAACACATATCTACAAGTCAACACACACTATCACCAGCAAGGTAAATACCTTAGATATTGTGAACTGCCTGGCATTATTGTTGAAGCCTCCAAATCTCTAGACATTATTCTAGGGCCCCCCCCTAAATAATGTCAGAAAGCTGCTTGCTGGACTACCCCCTTTGCTTGAATGATTTTTTGTTTTTCAATACTTTTAAATAAGGGATTTTATAAAGAAAGTGCGCACTGACTTTTGAAAACTTTTGGAAAGCTTCACAACTAAAGAGCTTAGGAAAAGTAAATAAGGAATAGAGGGTGAGTAAAGCAAATCAAAAGGCGAAGAAAAGGAATAAAGATTTAAAGCCTCAAATCTCTAGACATTATTCTAGGGGCCCCCCCTAAATAATGTCAGGCAACTATCAGGTTACATCTTATTTATATAGTTAGATACATTCATGAAAGGTAATCTCCTTTTTTACAACCACTCCTCCTTAGCAGATGGAGGGCTTTGAAGAACCAGACCTGATTGCAGAAGCACAAAGAAAGGCAGATCAAATTTTGAGGGAAGCACAGTTGAAGGCAGAACAGATTTTGAAGCAGGCTGCAGAGAAGACTTCTGCTCCAGCAGTGGTTCAAAGAAAGCTTTCAGACCAGTTCAAGACACCAGATAGACCAACATCAACCTTCAAGAGTCCAGCTTCCAGCAGAGAATGTCTTGAAGAGAGCCAGGGTTCCAATTCCAGTGGCAAATCCCCTTTGTCACAATTTGGTTTGGAGAAGTTTTTTGGCAGTCCAAAAGAGCAGGCAGAAGCAAGACCTGTTTTGGAGAGAAAGATTTTAGGGAAAGAAAGAAAGAGATCTATTAGAGAGCTTGAGCTTGATGAGTTGAAGCAGCAATATGTCAAGAGATTGAAGGCAGTGGAGGATTTAGGGGCAGAGAAGGCTATTGTTCCAAGTGCTGTTGAGCTAGGAAAACTTGGAGGTAGACCACATGTTGAAGAGTACAGCACTGCTGGATTGAAGAGTAACAGGAGAAGAGCTGGGATGCCTTCAAAGAGAAAGGAGTTCTCAGTTGTAGAGAAAGTCAAGATTGCAGAGGACTTGGAGCATATGCAAAAGGAATCTTCCAACAGCAGAGAGCTCTTCAAGAAAGGCAGGTCCAGATATGGCCTAGACACCAGGACCTTGAAGCACCTCATGTCCAAAAAGAAAGAGTTTGAAGGTCAAAGGTCAAAGTTGAAGACAAAGAGAGGCAGAGTTGTAGGGTCAAGGTTTGTCAGGGCAAAGGGCGCAGGCAGAAAGTTGGAGTTTCAGAAGGAGATTGACAAGGTCAAAGAAATGGTTTCGAAGGAGAGGTCCAATGGAGTTGTGCTTGCAAAGGGTGACCTTCTGGATGAGTTTCTAGCACAACTGATTTCTTCAGCCCAAGAATGTTTGAAGCAAGCAGAGCTTTCAAAGAGTGAGGGCCAGAAGAAGTCTTGGAACCTTGAAGCCAAGGCCTGCTTTGCCAGAAGGGACAAGCTTCTAGCCAGCAAGAAGTACAGGCAGTCTTTCTCCAGCAGGCTTTTAGAGTACTGTGGTGCAAAGGAAGTTGGCAAGGAGTTGGTAAGCCCTTTGAGTGCACTTGAAGAGAAAACGCGTGTTCAATTGTCTTGGCAAGCCATTGACAGAATGGTGTGGCTTGCAGGTGCAGCCCCTGAGGCAGACCTCTTGAAGTCTGATCTCTTTGCAGAGCCCAAGGATGTGTTGAAGCCTGGAGTTAGGGAATTGCTGACCATTGGCTTTTCAGACCAGGTCCCACTTTGGGCCAAAGCTGAGAGTTCAAAGATGGTGGCTTCTAGCGAAGAACTTTCGGGCATCACAGTTGCAGACAGGAAGCAGTTTGATCTGTTCAGGAAAGACCTGCTTCAAGCTGTTGATTTCTTCAAGCCAGAAGATGCTTCCAGCCAGGTGGTGACCTTGGAAGGCACAGAAAAGTTTGCAGGTGGCAGGAGGATTGCAGGAAGTTTGACTGCCAAGGGGGTTGCAGAGAATTCCAAGTTTAGAATCACTTATGAGGCGCGCCAAAGAATTGTAGGCTTGCCAGTTGGGAGTGATGGTGTTAGAGGGGAGGTTGCTGCTGGACTACTGGTTTTTCCAGGGGTGCATGCAAGGCTGTCAAACCTTGACAGCAATGGCAGGTGGATTAAAAGTGAAGAGTTTGAAGTTGCAGGTTGCAAGATTGTTCACAAGGCAGGTGAGGCTTCAAAGGCATTGAAGTGGGCTGTTGATTTGAGGAAGGAAGCTCCTGAGCTATTTGAAGGCAAGCTGGACATTATGAGTCAGCCTTCCTGCAACCTTGACAGTGTTCTTTTGAAGTGGGTGATTGAAGACCAGATTGAAAAAGAACCACTTGCAGTCTGGATTAGAGATAGCTTTGCAGCCATTTTTTCAGAGGAGATTAGAGAAACCCAGGCCCTTGGAAACCAACTGTCAGCAATTCTTTTAGGCAAGACAACCCAAAGGTTGCAGCTGACAGACACAGATTTTGCCAGAGCCTTCAAGGCTGATTTCAGAAAGGCTCTTGCAGAGAAGAGGAGTTCTCACAGGCTTGAAGGCAAGGAGGGCACTTTCAAGATTTCCTACAGGACAGTGATTGAAGCCACCCTTCAAGCCCAGGAGGCTGCAGTCAAGAGAAACTTGGAGACTTCATGGGTGATTAGAGGAGCCTTCAGAAATGCACTTGTCATTTATAGGCCAGACTTCAACAATGGTACTTTGCAGCCACTTGAAGCAAAGGATTGTGGTCTTGAACAGTTGGAGCTTGGGAGCCACAGGATTCCAAGTGAATGGTTGGTTCCCAGAAAGGGCTGGTTGCAGGCTGGCATTCCAATGGCGCCAGAGTTCTCTTTGAGCCAGGCAGCAACCAATGTTCAGAACCTTCTAGACTGGGCTGCTTACACAAACCCAGCCCTTGAAGATGAGGAAGAGAATCCCCTAGACATTGATGATTCCATTGAAGAGTCTCTGGGGTTTGGTTTGAAGAATTCCTTGTTTTTGAGGCTTCACCCAAAGGTGAGGAAAGCAGCTTTTTTTAGCTCAGAAAGATGCAAAGTTTTCAGAAGTACTTGAGAAGTCCAAGGAAAAAGCTGCAAGACTCCAGCAAAGGGCAAGTTTGAGGCCTGGTTTGTTGAAGGCTCTTAGAGAGAAGCTTAAAGGAATGAGCAAGAAGGAAGCAATTGAACAGGTGGTTGCCAAGAGCAATGCAAGCAAGAAGAAGATTTCAGCCATCTTCAAGCCTGGTGCAAAGACAAAGCCATCCATTTTCAAGAAAGCAGCTTTGAAAAGTCTCAAGAAAAGCAAGGCAAAGCAGGAGGCAGACAAGAGCATTCCAGCAGCCTTGAAGGATTTGAAGAAGAAGACAGAGCTGGATGCAGTTGTTGAAGCTTCTGGGGAGACAGTTCATTGTAGAATTGTTTCAGAGAGTGAAGGGAAAGGGAAGTATGGGAAAGAAGGGATGGTTGAAGTGAAGAGCTTGGAGAAAGATGGGGGTGAGTTTTGCCAGCTCATTGGAGACAAGCACACAGTTGTGACTTGCAAGGTTTCAAGTCTTCTTGTCAAGCAAGACACATGGCTTCCAGTGAAGGAGTGGCAGCCTTTCAGCAAGCTTTCTAGAAAAAGTAAAGGTGAAGCCCTTTACATGATTGGCTTGAAGCCAGAGCCCTTTGCAAGCGCGGGTGATGATTTGATGGACCTTCCAAGTCAGGATGAGAACTTTGATTCTCAGCATATGCTGCTTGGCTTTGAGCTTTTGAGGTGGCAGTTCAAGGACTACTTGAAGGAGGTGGCCTTCATAGACCCTTATTTGACAACAATGTATTTGAGAGATGAGGATGTTCCACAAAGAGAGCTGTTGAAGAAGACCATTCAAGACTTTGGGGAATCAGATTCGCGGGTGCTTCTTTGTCCAATTTGGAGTGCAAAGACAATTTGTCATTGGACTCTGCTTACAGCTGAGAGGGTTGAAGGGAAGTGGTCTTTTAGGTACAGGGATACCTTGGCAGACCCAGTAGAAGATTCCTTGAAGAAGGCTTGCAGTATAGCCAGCCTTTTGCAGAAGGAAGAGGTTTCTTTGAAGATTTACAACTCTTTCCAGCAAGTTGGAAGCACATGTGGGCTTTGGACTCTTGCATACATGATGGAAGAGGCTTGCAGCTTGTTTGAAGGCTTGGCTTCCAGAGGACACCCAAACATTAACTTCTTGAGGATGAAGTTTGTAGCTTGGTGGCACCAGCTTTCAGCAGAGAAGCAAAAGCTTGAAGAAAGCAAGAAGGAACTTGAAGAGAAGGCAGAGAAAATTTCAGTCCAGCAAGAGAAAGCCAAGGAGAAAGCCTTGCAGCAGCTTTCCAAATTGAAGAGCCATACCAGTGCTGCAGCCATTAAAGCCCAGCAGATGCTTGAAGCCAATAGCAAGTACTTCAAGCTGCAACAGCTGAGTGAGGCTTCAAGGTACAAGATTGAAGGCACCCTTTCAAAGGGAAACATCTGTTCCAAGTGCAGATGGAACAGTGGATGCTTGGAGTGTCACCCAGGCAAGGCTTTGAAGTACTACTGGAGCAAAGAGGCGCATTCAAAGAGCCTTGTTCCAGGACCAGATCTTCCAAAGAATTGGGAGCACCTTTCAGGACAGGGGGGTGGGGAAGAGGCAAACACTAGCCAGCAAAGCACACACACAATGAAAAAAACATCCAAAAGCATCAAATCTCAATGGAAATCTCCAAATTTTCAATAGACATCTCCATCCAAAAGCCTCCAAAAGCATCAAAACTCAATGGAAATCTCCAAATTTTCAATAGAAATCTCCATCCCAAAGCCTCCAAAAGCATCAAATCTCAATGGAAATCTTCAAATTTTCAATAGAAATCTCCATCCAAAAGCCTCCAAAAGCATCAAATCTCAATGGAAATCTCCAAATTTTCAATAGAAATCTCCATCCAAAAGCCTCCAAAAGCATCAAATCTCAATGGAACTCTCCAAATTTTCAATAGACATCTCCATCCAAAAGCCTCCAAAAGCATCAAATCTCAATGGAAATCTTCAAAATTTCAATAGAAATCTCCATCCAAAAGCCTCCAAAAGCATCAAATCTCAATGGAAATCTTCAAATTTTCAATAGAAATCTCCATCCAAAAGCCTCCAAAAGCATCAAATCTCAATGGAAATCTCCAAATTTTCAATAGACATCTCCATCCAAAAGCCTCCAAAAGCATCAAATCTCAATGGAAATCTCAAATT